TTTTTTTGAATGCTACTCTCAGTAGTAACACCTAATCTGCGGGTGGTTGGAGAGCTCCACAAGTAGGTCCTACTTCTTTTCTTTTCCTCTGCAGTTTCTATCTGTCTTGCTTCTTCCGTGCACTATATGACTGTTGTGTCGATGTGCGTGTCTTTACTCAAACCCTCAAAATCTTCAGTTCTTAAGATATGACCTATTTGTGTTGCAAATGCCATGAAACTCTTAACTGAAACCCAAAAAAACCAAACCCCCCCCCACAAAAAAACAACAAAAAATTCCTGTATGTGTATCCAGCTAGAGCAGCTGTTCTGCGGCAACAGTGCCGAGGTGTGGGACGTGAGGATGCTGACAGACTGCTGCCGGCCCGATCACGGCTACACGCACGACTCGCAGGCTGTGCGCTTCCTGTTCCAGGTCCTCAGCAGCTACACGGTCACAGAGCAGAGAGACTTCCTGCAGTTTGTCACCGGCTCCCCGAGGCTGCCTGTCGGAGGTGGGATGTTTATCTACTTTTGATGGGGGAAAAGTTCTATTTATCTTGAATAGAAGTCGAGATATTTGCAAATATAGGAGATGGGGGTTGCCTGATGTCAGAGGCAAAATTAATTAGAAAATGGCTGCCACAGTTTGGTGATCAACAAAACTTGTGTTCTTGAAAACGGCAAATTTACATTTTTGTGCCTTTGATCATTTTTCAGTAAAATTCACACAGAAATATGTTTTTGAATGGACATAACAGGTGTTAATATTTAAAAAGAAAAATTGATAAGAATTACCAAAGGAGCGAAAAAATGCCTGTTTCTTTGATTTCATTATTTTGACGAGTGCCTGATTTCACCACATTGCCTCACGTATTGTTTCTGACGAATTGCTCAGGTCTCCCTCGCTTTCTTAATGCTATAAGACATTGTTTTTGACAAATTCCCCCCAAGTTTCCCTCACTTTCTTAATGCTCTAAAACATTGCTTCTGACAAATTCCCCCCAAGTTTCCCTCACTTTCTTAATGTTCTAAAACATTGTTTTTGACAAATTCCCCCCAAGTTTCCCTCACTTTCTTAATGTTCTAAAACATTGTTTTTGACAAATTCCCCCCAAGTTTCCCTCACTTTCTTAATGCTCTAAAACATTGCTTCTGACAAATTCCCCCAAGTTTCCCTCACTTTGTGAATGCTCTAAAACGTACTGTTTCTATGAAATTGCCCAGGTTTCCGCAGCCTGAACCCTCCCCTGACTATCGTACGCAAGTCCCCGGAAGGCACGGACGACCCCGACGTGTACCTGCCATCTGTGATGACCTGTGTGAACTATCTGAAACTGCCCGACTACTCCAAGGTGGAGGTGATGAGAGAGAGGCTGGGAACAGCTGCCAGGGAGGGCCAACTGTCATTCCATCTGTCCTAGTACCCACCCTCTTTGTTACTTTTGTTTGTATGTGGTTGGGGGGAGGGGGGTGTTTGGTGTCTGGGTGGGTCCACTTGGGGGAGGGTGTGAGTGTGGGTGTATGTTGGTGAGGGTTTGTATGCGGATCTTTGTGGGTGAGCCTGCACGTTTAGGTGTAGTTTTGTGTGTGTGTTTGTGTGAGGATCTATGTGAACGAGTGTGTGTTTTTGTTGGGCGCCCATATATGTTTTGTGAAGTATGCAGTGGTGAACATGTAGTGGGTCATGAGATTTTTCTATATCGTCATCTTGTTTTTTCTGAGATCTTGTTCACGATTCTAAGGTTATTGAGAAAATTTCTTCGAGTTCTGTATTTGAAACTTTCTCTCTGTAAGAATTTTACAAATGAGCAAGAACTGATAGTTAACACTTATGATATATACCAAAAGGTCATGGCCCCCTCCAAATTTTCTTTTCTAATTTTTGCACTACTGTGTGTGTGTGTTGAGAATACAGTCGCAATTGTCCAAGATGACCACCCGTTGTTAAGGAGAAAAGTGGTTGTCTTAGACTGATGGACAACGTGGGTAGTGTCATTATGATATTTTAACAAATGAAATGGGGGGAAATGGTTGTTTGTACGGGTGATTGTCTTGGACAGGTGGCTGTTAGAACAGGTTTGACTGTACGTTGTTGTGTGACTTTGGAGTATTTGTAAACCCAGGTGCGTGTGTCTGTGAGGGTGTCTGTGAGCAGGAAGTGAGTGCCTGTGTGTGACTGTAGGCCTATGATAAGCTGTTAATTCTTTCCCTCTGTTTCAAGTTGAAACGTACTATAGTTAGCCAGGAAAAGGGTGAATGTTGACCCTGTGTGTGTTTGCCTCTAAACTGGGGTCTTTTGTGCTTTTGTGTTGTTGGAGGGGGGGGG